CCTTCTTTGAGGTACCATAATCATTTATTGCATTGAAAGACACCTCCCTAAAAAGATGAAATATGTGTTTGACATTTGCTAAAGATCAGTTTTTCTAAAAATTTTTGCTTATCATGGAAATTTAAGTTGCTCTGCAAATAGTGAAAGGATTTATGAACAACAAAACTTCACACAAAAAACACTAATTTTCAATTATCTCAGTCTCAATTTTTGTCTATAAAATAAAGAGGTGATTATCTGAGATCTAGTGTGTAATCTTTATGCTAAGAAGTTACGTACTTGAAATTAAGTGAGCTGTCCACGCAAGAAGCTGGAGAAATCTGTTTATTAGTGGCACTTAGTCACTAATTTAGAAAATAGGGCTCTCATTCATGCACTTCACAGAAAGAGAAGGATATCTAAAAGAGTCTCCATCTCCTACCTTGGAATTTGGCTCATGGCTGAAAACAAACACTTGATTTAATTACACATTGTAAAAAGAGTAATTTAATCATACCAGAGTTCACATCATACTTTTTTAGATGCTATTTCTGTCTGCCTCCTAGATTCTAAATCTCTTCAGAGAGCTGAGATTAACTCAGTTCTTACAATAACTCACTTCTTGGACCCTTGTATGCTTGTCTAACCTGAGGGTATCTACCTGATCCTTCCAAGCAGCCTCCCTCCATTGATTCTATTTAGACTGATGGTAGTATACTTTATAAGTGTCACAGAGTGAAGCTGATGCTGAAGTAAGGGTAAAGAGTTACAAGAAAGACCCCTTACAAAGAGAAATCTGATGACTGAGACACATGAGAACGGAAGAGGTGAGTATCTATGGCACAAGGTGAGGATAGGAAGATTCTTCCAGATAAACCTGAAAGTTAGAATTTTAAAGAGAAACAAGAGGCTCCTCTTTTAAAGAAGAAAACACTAAATCTACCAAAAGTTGTGCTTAATTAAATCTGATGTCCCTAGAGTTAACATAGGTTAGGGTGGAGATGACAAATTAGAGAACTTCTGGGCACAGAACATTGTGAATGAACACTGATACATGTGTCAGTATGAAAATTTTATCCCTACAGATATATGCAAAAAATGCTTAAGACTGAACAGGAAATGTGCTACTACCCCTTCTTCACTCCTCCTCCCCCACCACCCCGTACCTGAGTAGTTTTCCATTCTCTCCAGAGCTTCTTGGAGATGCAGATTCTGCTTGTGAAGTTCCATTTTCTCCTTGGCTTCTTCATCCACCTTCTGGTAAAGGCTATTTATCGTGTTTTTGAGTTCCCTCTGTGAATTCTGGCAATGTTTCTCTGCTTGCTGCTGGGCTAAGAGCTGCCCTTTCAGGATATTTGCCTGGTGAGTAAGGTTTGCTTGGTATTGTTTTAGAAGGTCAGATACCTGGAATACTAAACCATAGTTGGATTATGATTTCATTTTCAATCTCCAATATAAAACCTGCCTTCTGCATTTTAAGGAAATCAAAACACAGAATCAAATGATCTACTTTGACAACAGGGAAGTATTTATAGATTGAGAATAGAAACATTGCATGAACTCGAACAGTGAGAAGCAAAGAGCACTTCAAAAGCTGATGGAAATGATTTGAATTTACTAAGAAATTCTTAATTTGGAAGTTATCTGATAGTCCTGCAGCATATTTTAATGTCTAGAATTATGCAGATATTTATGATTAAAAGATTGACCTCTATTTTGTTTTGTGAGACTTACACACAAAATAAGAGTAATGCAAGATAAGTACTATCAATGAAATAAATAAAATACAGATAATTTAAAATAGGCCACAACCCACTAGGCTCAGTATTAGTAAGAATTGGTCTTGGTGATTTACTACTGGTGTTTTAATTTCTCTACTTCATCTCCTTCTATTCTGTCCATCCTTCCAGACTTCCCAATTTTATTCAGGAACTGTAACATTTGCCCTGTCTTGAGGTGCCCATCAAAAAGATTAAATTACTGCATCACAACAATCTCCAACTTTTTCTTTTCTAATTTTTACTTTTAGCCATAGCATACTTTAGGAAGATGAGTGATAAAACTGAACTTGTGAAATCCAGCAGCAGTGAATGCTATGGGCCAGAGATCTCACTTCTGGAATCCGCATCGTGCAAACAAAGCACGTACCCTGGCTTGAAGGCCAGAGTAGAGACTTTCGCAAAGTGATCAAAGCCTCAGAGGAAGCCTTTTCCAATCCTGGCCACTCAGTCGAAGACCCTCTTCCCACTCATGAGGAAAGCCGCACAGTGTTATAGACTGAAAGTAAAAATATGTAATGAACTGAGCAATGGAGAGCAAACAGCACTTCCAAAGCCTTAGGGCTGGGGATCTGAGATTTGGCCAGCTGAAATAACTCAGATCTACAGCCTAAATGTGCAGGTGTCTCCACTGGAAGGTGGACACCTTTTCTTTCTTTCCTGGTTAATCTGATCCTTATGTTTCAACTCTTTTATTCTCAATATTCCTTCTTTCCTAAATGTCCATGTAACAAATTTAAAATACAATTTGTTTTAAATGTTTTATTACTAAGGTTGTGTTTCTGGTTGTTAATATTAAAATTATATTTAATTACCGCTATTAAAATGCAATTAGAACTAAATGATTATTGTTTTACTTTGTGTTGCTCTGATGATCTTGTGGATTTTTTTTTTCTTTCTGTACTGAGGCTTGAACCCAGGGCCTTCCTCTGAGCTCCATCCCCAATCTTTTAATTTTTTTCTCCTTTTAATTTTGAAGCAGGGTGTCATTAAGTCACTAAACTGCCCAGATTGGGCTTGAATTTGCAATCCTCCTGCCTCAGCCTTCAGAATGCTGGGATTACTTGTGGGGAACACCAGGCACAGCTACTTAAGATTATTTTATTCCCCATCATGCTAGTGTTTATGATGTCTCTGTCTCTGACATTATAAAAACAAAATAATAAATATAAAACTTTTACCATATATAATCTTTATCCCATGCCTCTATCCATTTAAGAGACAAATACAATATTCCAATTCTTCCTCTCACTGACTCTGAAAACATTTAGCCTAAAATAAATCTAAATCAAGGCCATTTCGCAGTTGTTAAAAACAGACTGATGAACTATGTTTATGAACCCTCACCCCACGCCCATTTTTCTGTTTCAGCACTTACGTTGCTCCCTCAGCAATACAAGGCTCACCAATAATCCCAGGCTAAGGATGCCTAGAGTCACAGCAGCAGGGCACCAGCATGGAGAAGAAAGGAGACGAAGACCTAGAGGGTGGGGGATCAAATCAGCAAGGCCAAAAAGATGGACCAACCCTTCAGGTCATACTTTGGATCCTGTCTGTCCCTGATGTTCTGTATGTTCTGTATTCCTTACCTCTCATCCTCCCAATGGCTCTAAATAATTCATTGCACACACACATGGAGGAAAATATGGACAGTTAAAGAATTTAAGTAATTTACTCATGGGCCACACAACTGCTAAATTTAAGAGCTAAAATTCAGTATCTGATATCTGACTCTAAATATCTGATTCTGAACCTTGTGCATTGTCTACCCCCTACAATGACTCTTTAAAGAACTCTCAGTCCAACATGTTTGGATCAGCTGCATCCACAGAGACAGGAGCCTGATGATTGTAATATAGATCATACATGCACATACGTGCACACACAAACATACACGTTTTATGAGTAACATGATGTAAAGCTCAGATGTCAAGCAAATAAGTTTTTAGCCAATTAGTTGATATTCCTTCAAAGAATTCTCTACATAATTTTATGTTTTAATTTTCATTCCACTGTAATTACATTTTGAAACTGGAGTCACTAACCAAAATAAAAGAGGAATGAAAACTTAGCATTAATTTGGCTTATACTAACAGTATCCCTTATACTCACAGCTACTATAGGCTACAGAAAAATTTACCATTTTAATAAAAACAAGTCATGGAGCTCAAAGGTGTACCTATATCTGAATATGGATTCCAGATACTTCTTTGGCAAGAAACAACCTACCTCTTGAGATAAATAAAGCACTAGTAATGTTCACCTCTGTATGTAAAGAAGAAAAGTGAAAGGTTCAGTGACTTGTTTAAGACCATACCATAAAAAGACCACACCAGATATTAAGACCAAAACGTGGGTCTTTTAGTCAGTAGCTACATTGCTTGGAACATTATATAACAAAATTCTCTGTGTGAATGTTCAATGATCCAAGTCAAACAATGGTCAGATATATTCATGGAGTTCTCAAGCGTCAAAAGCATTATGCTAGATTCTACAGATGTTGAAAAGAAAATAGAAATGTTGACAGGGAGGAACATATTTCCTGATTCAATAGTTATCGTCTCCTCCCATGTGGCATGCAAGCTAGCAGAGAAGTAGCAAGAAATTTCATCTCTTGCAAAGAATTGCCTAATCTTAGCAATTATCTGTGAGTACATCTTTCTTATTCTTTGCAGTAGGCAACAAATCCAACCAAAATTATATAAGTATAGTTAATTTTATACTTATAATAAAAGTCAGACTCAATATTTACTACATGAGTGATGAATGAGTAAGTGAATGGATGAATGAAAGCATGGCTATTGTTAATTTGTAAAGTCTACCAGTAAATGGCAGAAGTGTTTTCATATTAAGTTAGTCCATTAGCTCAAATGTTAATTTATTCCATGCTTACCCTTATTTCATCATTTGAAAGAAATTTCTATTTTGTTTATAAAAACAGGATTTGAAATTTATCCAAATTTCTGACAATATTTGTCTGTCTTCCCCTTCTTGTGTTTTATTCCTTTTTCTCAGAATATAAAACAAAAGGCAATTTATCTGGGTTTCCTGTGGAATTTGACTTATAAATTAATGTATACCTAAAGAGTTGAATTTACTGCATGTGTCAAATAGAAATCATAATTTTCCAAAGCAATACTATAAAATGAAATATAATTTATACTAAACCATACTGAGTATCCCTTAATCTGCTTTGGATAATTAATAAAATATTACAGGTTTTTGCAGTATTTTAAGAACTGTTGTAAAAGTTACCACTCTATACATTAGTGAATTGATTTCTTGAATCTCTGTCATGGATTGAATACTGGATACTGGGAGTTTGTAGTACGATCCTAGTTCTGCCACTTACTAGCTCTGTTAAACTAGGAGATTTTTGTTAATCCTCTGCATCCCAAGTTAATATTCTGTAAAAGGAAATAATAGACTATCAGTCTCAACGTGTCATTGTAAAGATTCATAGAAATTATGCATTTAAAGTGAGCAGTAGAAAACTGCTTACAGTAACTAGGGTAAGTTAGCTATCAGCAGCAGCAGCAGCAGCACAATTATATCCTAATTGCTTTTATTTAAGTGGTATTGATTCTCTTATATTTTCTGATTTTTGAGTAGTTTAGCTTTCTAAACACAATCTTCAGTAAATTTACATTTCTGGAGCTACCACTGAAATTCTGTCCTTGTACAGAGTCATCCACCCCTGGTACCTTTAGCTTTCTTTCCAAATGACTTCTGATCTGGCTGGTCCATCATAGACTTCATCTTGAGATCATCAAAAGTCATTTCCAAATTCATGCTAAGAATGAGAGAATGAAACAGTCAAGAACTTTAACAAAATGAAAATATGTGAGCTTCCTCCGGAGTGTTTAAATAGCTACTGTTATCTAATAGGAGAATGACTCAATCGTTGCTAGGAGGAAGGGGAGGCTTTGCTTCATACTGGGAAGTTGGCTGACGCAAACTCTTGGGTTATGTCTATTTCAAGTGGGGAAAGTAGTGATTCTGATGGTGTTTCATGATATTTCACAAAGTGGTTTTTTTTTTTTTTGAAAGGGAAAACTTACATTTTCCACGAGAAAGGAAAGGCATTGTCCCACTTATCAGATATGGAAAGTTTAAATTCAAGAGAGTAAGTTACAGTCAAATTGTGGAAGAGTGTTCATTAGGACCAGATTGTTTGATTCCAACGTTTTCATTTGTTTCTTTGTTAATTTCATTATGGGACATTTTCTCCACATGGTGCCTTTCATAAGTCACTTGTTTTCCTTTTTAATATTCATTGTTTCAACTGACAATAGACTTAGGAATTTGAGGTGAATCTCATATGACTCTTATGTGTAGAGTAATCTTAGAACTGAAAGAGGTGTACTGTTTCATACAATGACAGTGTGACATAGCACCAGAGAGTCAGTAGAACTAGGCATGGCTAGTGCAAATCTTTCCCTTGGTCTATTGTCTTGGGGAATTATTTAACACCAAATCTATGTCTTTGTCCATATAATTTTGGGAAAATGTTAGTGTACATGACAAGCATTGTACTTGGAATATAATAAGAACTCAATAAATAATAATAACAACTATTATTAGTAGTAATATTCAGCACAGTTAAATAACCCAGAAAAAACTACCTTTTAGTTTAGCCCATGACTGACTTGAGTCACAAAGACTCATCCATAAGATCCTCATAGATATGTCTATCTATATACACAGACAGAATCTTCACCTATTTTTCTCTCCACAACCCTCCATGTAGAAAATAATTGCTTGGGCTGGGGATTTAGCTCAGTGGTTCCGGTGCCTGACTCTCAAGTGCCCAAGGTCCCGAGTTCGATCCCCAGTACCAAAATAAAAAAAAAAAAGAAAATAATTGCTGAAGTTGTATGTACTTAAAAAAATGTTCACTTATAAAAGATATTTTCTGAAGTATATACATGCAAAATTATGGTATCTGAAATCTTAAACCACTACAGGAAAAATAAAGATGAAATGATAGATAAAAGAAGATTGGAAAACTAATAAATACATAAAGTATGTAGGTAATTAATTAGGAAAAATCACCAAGGTTCACAGTCTAATTAAAATTCCATTTCCTTCCTCCCCTATAAGTTTCCTGAATTCTCCTTTTCTGTGCAGAATATCCAATACCAAATTGAAAATAGTTTATCTGCTATTTAACCCAGTTCATCAAAACTCACCATGTAGCAAGTACATCCTTGCCAAATCAGCTTATAAGAAGTCCACGTATGTATATGTACAAACTTCCTATGATAAATGTAATCATTATGCACTGCAAACATGTTCTTAAAATATACATTAATTTTAAAAAAAGAAGGCCACGCTGTCTTTATCACCAAGCCCCATCCCAGCAACCTTGGCTGTGAGTGCCAGGAAATCAGGTCCTGCATCAGACACATTTCTGCAATCACCATATCGGTCACACAGGTGGAATCTCAGGAAATTTCTCATAATAATGCATTAATAAACACCAGAATGGCATCATAATGAAAACAGAAATGTATGATTCCCACAGTGACTCTGTTATTTTAGATGTCATAAAATGGTGGCAATTTTAACCATTTTAGATGCACTGATCAGTGTGGCATTAATACATTTACAACGTTAGGTAGCCATCACCACAATCCACTTCTCGAACTTTTTCAATCTTCTTCTGGTGAAATTCAACATTAAACAACAACTCCAGTGATGGTAAATTTTATTTATTGTCTTGCCTGAGCCACAGGGTACCAACGATAGGCAGTTTGGGTATGAGGTTAACACATTCAACATTAGGATAAAATAGGCTTCAATCCATAAAGTGAGTGGGCCTCATTGAAAAGATGAAGGCCTGAAGAACAGAAAAACTAACCTTGCCCCTAGTAAGAAAAAATTATCCAACAGATGCCCTTGGGCTGAAACTATACACAACTAACTCTTTTAGGTATTCAATCTATCAACTGGAATGGTCACATTCACTCTCCTGGATTTTCAGTTAGCTGGCAGGGACCAAAGATTTGGACTCACCAGGTTCTATAATCATCAATTTCTTGATGATTAAAATATATATATATTTTATTCTAGAGAACTTTCATTACAACTCCTGCTTTTTTCACCTCTCTTTATCAGCCAACATTCTATTTTCTAACCCTTCTATATCTTTCCATCTAGACTTTAGAAGCAAACATGTACTGATCCCACAGCTCCAAAGAAATGATCTTGCCTAAGGGAACTTGCACATAGATCCCTCCCCAGTTGAGCCTTTGTGTAAGAATGCAGCCTAGCAGCCGGGTTTGTGTTGTTGTTTTTATTCATTAATGTTATTGGTACATTTTAGGTACACAATATGCTGACATTCATTATTGGGACTTTGTACCTTTACAAACTCTCTTGGTTCTTATTTTTTTTCCCCCTTCCCCTGCCTCCATTCAACCCTTCCATCCCTCCCTATTTACAAAGACTTTGTTTCTGTTTTTTCCTTTTCTCATATTTATTCCTTCTCCTTCTTTCCTTTCCCGTACTTCTCCCACTTCCCTTCCCTTTTGGACCTTTTCTTCCTATTTCACATTATCTATTATACCTTTTAGTCCTTATTTACACTTTCAGTTTCACACACCAAAAAAACTATTCGGTATTTACACATGTGTGTCCTATTTATTTCACTTAAGAGTATTGCCTCAATGCGCATCCATTTAGCTATAAATGTCTCTTGTTTCTC